GCAGCCTCCATTCTCCGTCCTCTTGCGCTACTTGGGGGGAAGAAGGTAGAGAATTTGGGAGTGAAGTTGAGCCTGAGAGGGAGGGGTGGGGGTAAGGTGTTTTTAGTTTTGTTCTTATTTCTCACTATCCTACTCTGTTGTTATTTGGCAATAAATTAATTTCCTTAAGTTGAGTCTGCTTCGCCCACGACAGTAATGAGACCTTGCCCCTGTCCTTAGCTCAATTCATGAGCTTTTCCATTTTATTTTCTCCCCATCCTGTTGAGGAGGGAGAGCTTGGTGGACACAGCTGGCCAGTCAAGGTCAACCTGTAATTATATTGCAGATTTTTTTTTAGTCTGATGAAATATATTATTGGATATTTCCAATAAATTTTAAAAGAGTTAAAACCAAACACAGGACATCATTCTCTCTTTGTTCTTTGACAACCTCTACCTTCAAGGGGATTCAATAAATATAACGATAATTACAATATCTTGTAAACAAATCCATCAACCACAAATAGCAACAGTCTGAAAACAAACCTGATCACTACAGAAGAAAAACAGTAGCTCTCCTTAGAATTCTGAGCAAGTTGAAGAGCTTTGTAGTACATCCCACAGGTCAATGGATTTGCAGCTTCAAACAGATGGTTTGAGCAAGAATTAAGACAGTTGCATGATATGAACGCTTCTCCAGCAACGCTGGTTTAAGGAATTCCTGATCCCACTTGTTCTCAGTTTTGCATGGTATAGTGATGTTACTCGTACTGCTCTACCTGGGAACCAACTCAACCACAAGAGCAACACTGTTATGTCCTAAGGCCACAGATTGCTAAAATCCCACTAGGTGTTTCAAACAAACTGCTCTTTGATTCAATTCAACTCAAAAAAAACCCCAAACCAAACACAAAAAACCTCCAACAACCAGGCCTCGACAAGAGTATATCAAGCAATGAAGAAGCCTGAATAATGACCTTTGCAATTTTGCCAGGTTTACCTCCTTACACAATAGTCTCCTGAAAGATGTAGCAGCAGTATCTTTTATGTCAAAGAACACTGAAAATTTTCTGGTCTTAAAACAAGTATATTTATAAATATGACCTAAATATATATTTACTAACCTATATATACAGCCAAAATCCTCACAGTGCATACACTGCCAGGTAAAAAGTCAATTTGCCTTATGAAAATAAGAAAAGTTTTGGCTGCAATTACTGGAGTAGAACCCTAATTTTTAATTATTACTCAGGAGTCAATGCAGGTAATTTTCTAAAAATAACAGTTCAACACTCAGAGGCAGAACTCAAGGACAGCTTACAAGAGGGGCAGTCGTTCTGTATATAGCTGTACAGTCACACACTCCCTAAACCGCTACTGGTGTCATGTACTGGACAATAATCTCATACCTTGGATAACAAGCCATTTCTTGCTCTGCACATGCTACAAACTCAAACTTCAAACCCAAGGTTTGAAACTTACACGAACTGCTGTGTCCACACCTGCTGAGGCCAGTCGATTGATCTTCCCATCAGCTCCACGTTGGAAGTCTAAGCTGTAAACAGGCTCCTTATTATGCCATGCTATTTCACATGTGATGACCTTCATATTTACTAAAGAAAACAGAGCAAATACTGGATAAATTCTTGTTTCTTATGACTAAGGCAATCAAAGTCAGCACAGATTCTGCAAGCACTGCAAACAGGTCCCGTAATAGCTTCACTGCAGGAAGTGACAGAAGGATGATTTAAGGAAGAACATTTTTAAAAACTATGATTGATTGTACATACGACTACGTACTATGATTATGGCTAAAGTTACTGCCTGGGCACTGCACAAGAGTAATAAAGCCACGTATCCCGGTGGAAATAAATGCTGCGATAGAAGCACATGGCAGAGCTACAATAAACAGTAAATCCCGAGAGCAGACACCGCAGCGTGTCCGCACTCTCTCGGCTGCCCCGGTCCTGCCCTCGCCCAGCTTCTGCCGGGGGCGAGCCCTGGGCTAGCACTGCCCAGCCCTCAGGAGCACAAGCGCTTCCCTGCCAGCAGCAAGGCACCGAGAAGCCAAAACAAAGGCATG